TCTCCTACTCACATCCATTCAGGGGTGCAAGAGGTCTCCCATGTGGCCATCAATCAAGTGCTGCTGCACCCATATGTCCAACTACCCACCTCCTCCCTTGACGGTCCACCCATAGCCCTTCCTCTCAATGCCTCAACTCAACAGGATCAGCCAAGAGATCAATGCCACCCCTTTTCCGAGAAATGGGTTGGAATGGAAGCCCAGCTGGGGTGGGTGTCCTAGGAGGAGGCTAAGAAGGGTGGCTGATAAGGACACACCTATAGAAGGCAACTCCCTCCTCAGCCAGCAGTGACTTAGGAATTTACCAATGTCGAAGAAAGTCTATGACACTCTAGCACCATACAAGGCACATTCCCTTGTCCTCCAAACCCCCCACCTTTACAGCCCCCTGATAAAAAAGAAAAAAAAAAAAAAACCTTTTCCCTGGCTGTGACTTCCCTGGCCCACAGTCTATACCAAACCAGTGAACCTCGCCTGGGAGCATTCCCAATAAATCTTGTTTTAAACTAAACTTTATTCTCTGTGGATTTCTGCTTCTGAACATGAACTCAAGCCTTACAGTGACCTTCCCAAACACCCACAGCAGCCTGGTCTGAGCCAGGAACTCCATCCAGGTCTCCACTATCAGTAGCAGGGACTCCAGCATTTGAGCCGCCACCTGCTGCCTCCCAGGTGAACATTAGGAGGTAGCTTCAATTGAGAGAGAAGTTGGTGTTTGAACCAGACATGGAATAGTGAGTGGTGTCCCAACCAGCAGCTTAACCACTGCACTGAACTCCCAGACACAAAAACAATGTTTCCTAAATGATCACCTACTCCCCTGAACTTTGCAAAGCAAATGGGTTTAAAAGCAGTGACCCTTTGCTGCTCAAGGCCATCTCTGAGGATATGACCCTGCACACCTGCCACAGGGCCGTGCCACACCCTGCCCTGCAGCTCCCCACACTGCTCTCCTCCATGCCTGCCCCACCTCTAGCTTGTGGTATTATGTCAGGAATGCACTGGATTTCCACTACCAACAGCTATAGCCGGGCTCCTGGCTTGAGTGACACAGGGTAAGGAGCACTTAGAAGGAAGACTTAGGAGCTGCAAGGGCCCTGCCTGGCTCTGTGAAAACATCCCTGAACCCACACTGCAGCACAAGCAGGTTTTTACTCCTTGCTGTCAGCTCAACAAAATTCAACACAGACACTGGCCTCAAGCAGCTGCTACAACTCCAGCCTGGATCTGAAACAATGTGGTCTTGGCAAAAGCCAAGTCAACAGACAAGGCTGGTGGCTGAACAGGCCCTTTGCCAAGGTTCAAAAGCACAGGGCAGACCCGCTATGCTTTCCTTCCATGTGAGGCAGTTGAGAGGCCCACCCTCATTCCTTTGATGCACCCAACTTCACACTCCATGGCAAGCCAGCTCAAGTGTCAAGACAAAGGGCAAGGCAGGAAAGTAGCCTGGGCCTTAGGAATTGGCTCAGTCTCCCCAAGGCTCCTCCCTGTGGATCCTAGCAGTGTAGGGACTCCCTTCAGCCTCTATGGCAGCCCCACAAGGGTACAGAAGGAATCATGGGATGGGAACTGGTGGACTGCAGGTCACCTCCAGGGTGACGGATGCACTGCTTTGCAATCTAAGCTTCAGAGCTCCCTGCCTCTGCTTGCTGCTGTGTCACCGACATTAACACCCAGAGTCTTGTTCCCACCATGTCTGGTGAACAGCACCCAGTCTGGGACACATGCTGCCCTGGGAATTTTGTCCACTGGACAAATGGGAAGGGACAACGGAGCCCTTCGCCTTTCACAAAACACTTGGCGTACTGGAACTCTTTCACAGTCTAGGCCTCAAGACGAGCAGGCAGGCAACCCAAGCAACATCACATCAGAAGCCACTTCATTCCTCCTGTTACTCACTAGTGCTCATGCTGTCTAATCAATAACCCACTCTGATGATCGCAAAGCCAAACTGCACCTGAAAACAGGTGCATCTTGAGAAATGGCTTCATCCCTAACTTCTCCAAAACAGCAGACTATCAACAGGCCAGGTCTAAGACAAGAGCATCTGTGTTTAAAGTCAGACTTCTCTGTACCACCAAACCAAACCAAACCAAACCAACAAAACACCATTTATTTTTAGCTTAGCTGATGACCCCATAGCTCCCTGAACCTCATTAAAAGTTCTTCCAGCTGTTATGTTAAAGCCACAGAGTTCAAACGAACAGCATTCAATAGTCACTACACTCACAAGGAGAATACACAGCCACTGTCGCATTCTATACCACCAACCTCCAAGATATCAGTATACACAAAGCACAAACCAGCTCGGGCCATGCTGACCATCAGAGACCAAGCCTGCTATACCAACACCAAAGGCCTGGAGTCTGTCCCACAATAAGAAGATGCGCCAGATGCCAAACCTAAAGAACTGCCCCCATCACCAATCCAACCCATGCTAGTGACTGACTCAGGATTCTTGGCCTTGCCAATCAAGTGCATGTGACTTCCTAACTTGGACCAAAGGCATGTCAATCACAGAGATGGCCCCATTCAGGAGGAAAGCAGGGGACTTAGCCTCTGCCCTGTCCATCAGTCCCAGTGTCAACATCATCCAAGACCAGCATGGAATCTTAGAGACATGGTTGTTTAAAGAACTTGGGTGAGGAAGGCAGCCCCAAATCCTAAGTTGACTCCTGGCAGCTACCCTCCACTGCTCCAGGATACCTTCAGGCTCAACCCAGTGTCCCTGACTAAGCCTAACAATCAGGTATACAGGCAAACAAAGTTCTCACGGCACCATGGGGCCATGGCTAAGAGATGAAGAGGCTCACAGTCAGAGGGCTCCAGGCTGATCACTGCCATTGCCATTCTGAGCGGCCCTGAACATTCTGAGTCTGAGCTTGGCAGTGAGATCCTCTTTCAGAAAACAGGAGGTCTACAATAACTTCCATCATGTCAAAGTGGCCAAAAGGATCACAATAATATTGTATAAAAAAGTGCTCACAAAGGGTCCTAGTACATAATATTTTTCAAGTGCTTATTTATTATTACTACAACCACCACGAGCAGTGTTGCCACTTATATTACTATTCCTAGTTATGGTACTACTACATAGAACCCCCTGCATGAACCCCCTACCAATGCTATTGCTACTAGTAGTACTACTGCTGGGAAGTACTGCCAGTAGTACTGAGTACCACTACTATCACTACTATGAACCCCTACTAATACTGCCATTGCCAGTACTTCTGAACAAGACAGCTACTACTACTGAGTACTACTGCTATCACTCTGAGCAGGAGCCCTTCCCAACGCTGCCACCACCACTGCTAGTCGGAGTATTCCAACTTGTGAAGAGTACCACTGTTACTGCTGAGTGTAAACTGCTGCTGCTCCTGCTGCTGCCGCTGTGGCTGCCAGCCTGCTGGTAAATACGAGTCTCCCCATCAGCCAGGTGCTCCATCTCACCCTCTCCTGCAATACCTGCCCACAGCCAGCCTCCCAGAAGAGGCCACCATTTTGCCACTTGCAGCCGCAGTTGGCTTTTTCCACTTCTAACCTTCTTAGACCTACTAGTAAGTATAACCATCTGTGGTGTCAGTGCTCCTAGCCCCACGATGGTGCATGCCTCTTTTGGGAGAAAGCCCAACCTCAGCGGCCTCTCGTTCCAAGCCAATTTCTCCCATTAGAAGCCATGCAAGCTCTCTCTGGAAAGGGATCTGGTCCTTCTGCATGTTGGATGTAGAGACCCCACTAGTCCCTCATGTCAAGAGCAGCCAAAACCCCAGTTTAAACCCAGCCCCAAAAGACATCCTGCTTCCAAGTCCTTGAGCACCTGCCTCCAAACACTAACTGGAGAACAGAATCAGCTCCAAGAGGTGGCTCAACAGTTGTGTGAGGTCCCTCTAGAGCCAGACACTTCTGCCCACACTTGAGCTACCACCTGGCAGAGGTCACAGGCACCAAGGAGGCTCTAGGGCATGCTAACACAGAGAACCCTGGAGAGCTCTGCTCACTGAAGTTGCAAAGTTGCATTTGGTCAAAAAAACCATGCACATGCAAGCCACAGCAACATTAGCTTCTCTCTCTCGATTTATTTCAAACTTACTGTAACCATAAAGTCCCTTGGCAGAGGTATGCTGGCACAGGTCAAAGATGTGGAGGGGAAATTCCTGAAGGGCTCTTGCACCCTCTCCTATAGCTCCACCTGAACTTCACAGGGCAAGGCAGCAGCCAGGCCATGGGAGCGACCCTCTTAGCGAGCCCTCATCATTGGGCACACGGGTCAACAAACCTTTGTCACCACTGCCAATGTCAACCACCCAGGCCATCCAAGCGAAGGTAGCACAAAGCTGCCTGACCAAATTCCTTGATGCTGTCAGTGACCTTCAATACACACAAGACATAAACAGCAGCTATACCTCCCTCCCTTGTTGAAGTCAGCAGAACCACCTGTCTCACCCTCAACAAAAAATGTACTTTTGACAACTCGGCACTTTCCACCTGAAGTTACCCTCTCCCAGCAACTTCTATTCTTGCCACCCTTAAAGACAAATAGGACCATCTATGTCCTAACGGTGGTGCTAAGATCCCACCAAGGGTCCAGGCCATGTACCCAGATTTCCAATATCTGTTCCAGCAGGACACAGATGTCAGCCACCTGGCCTGGTGGCCCCGTGCAGAACCTTGCCTTGCACCTCCAGGGGAAGGCCCTTCAAGGGAACAGAAGTCACTGCCCTCTTGGTTTTCTGTCAGGGACTGTCCAGTGACCGCTTTCAGCCATTCTGCTATAAGGCTATCAAAACGCTACCTCTCACTCAGCAAATTCCACCCAGACACCAAGAACAAAAAACTAAAGTGAGTGCATGAATTCATGAACTCACTGGACTCTACTCAAACCCCACCTGGCAGCCTCTCGCTTTGGGTGCCCATTCACTTCAATAACGAGCCATCAGTGAGTTGGAAAACAACTCATTACATATTTTGGAAAACAACTCATTGCATATCAGAACTTTTACCTCAATTAATGTAAAGATCCCCAAAATCAGGTATGACTTCCAGTAACACTTTATGATGGCTTTTGTCAAGGAAGGCTCCCGTGCCTCATTCTCAGCCTTCAGGACTTCTTTATCCCAGTATCTGTAAGGAATAATAAGGCTTGGTCAAGAAGTGAATACCTTGTCCCACAGGTAACCAGAGGTAGGTAGGTGGCAGGGTGACAGGCAGGGGTTATTTGGGGCATTCTGCAGCCACCTGTAAGTACTGGCTAATTGCTAATAAGGAATACAGACAGCAGAGAAATGGGCCTTGAGGGGGAAAGTCTCCACGGCCAAAAGGCTACAGCCAAGCCTGCTGAGTGTTCAGCAACCCGGCAGGCAGGCTGACCATACAGCAACCTCCTCCAGTGACATCACCTCAGGCACCCTCTATGGGGGGTTGGCCTCCCTCCTCCACGTATACACTCCAAATTCCTTCAGACCACTACATAGGCAAGGAGAGGGACGAGTGTTACGGAATCAAGTTCTAGAAGGGCCAGATGGAAGACAAGGGACCCCAGACAGCAAACCTGTGAGCCTCCCTCACCCCACCCTTTTTCTCACTGCCTCTTTCTCACCCTTGCAATTCTTCCCCAAGATGCTTGGAGCGATCTTCCGGAAGCACTGAATACATGTCATCTTCCTCCAACCTCCGTTTATGGCCAATTTTAAACAAAGGGTTTAGCCACCTGTTAAGAAGGAAAAGGCAGTGACATATCCAAAATCACCCATTTGTCTAGAGCCTAACATCCATGGATTTTGTAAAAAATCTGTATTTTAAACAGAGAGCTAGAGAAAATATTAAATATGCGCTTACACACACACACAACAAGCTTACTAGCTGTAGCCACCAAGCAGCCCTGGAAGCCATGACACTCCCAGAACAGTACCTGGATCTTAAGTTTTTATATCATTCTCCCTCTCTCCAAAAACAGTCAAGGCTACTTGAAGAAATGGCTGATCCCAAAGCTGAGACAGAGAACATACCAGAGAGGCTAATAACAGCATCTTGCAATGTAAAATAACAAACCCTGGGGATCAGCATTGTGGTATAATGGGTAAACCTGTCGCCAACACTGCCCAGCATCCCATATGGGCAGGTACCAGTTTCAGACACAGCTGCTCTACTTCCAATCTCACTCCCTACTAATGTTCTTGGGAAAGCAGCAGAAAACAACATCAGTGTTTGTGCCCCTGCACTCTTGTGGGTGACCCAGATGGCTCTTCCAGCTCCTGGCTTCAGCCCGGTCCAACCCTAGATATACTGTGGCCATCTGGGAAGTGAACCTGTGGATGCAAGATCCTCTTTCTCCCTCTCCCTCCTTGCCTTCTTTCCGTGTAACTCTTCCAAATAAATAAATAAATCTCTTTTAAAAATAACGGGAAAGGGTCCAAAAGACAGAGGAGCCAGCCTGAAGGGATCCCATTAGACAATGTAGGGTTATGTGAGCATCCAACTAATTAATCAAAGTGATGCTGAACAACCACAGAAGGAACAACAGAATTGAAAAGTACCAACAGAAGGTAAAACCAGTAGATGAAAGTCTAATAAAAATATGGGATAGGTATAATTTCCAACTATATTTCTAAAAATGAAAACTGAGGTTAACTCTGTAAACCCCAAAACATCATATTCTGAGATTAATTTTAAAAGCCTGTAAGTCCTCTAAGACCATTTAAATAATAATATTGAATGTAGAGATAGACAGCCCAGAGGTAAATGTTTTACTGGTTTGGTTCAAGTATGGAAATTTCCAAGAACAGACAATAACCCATGATGTTGGCAACTGAGTTTCTCCTATTGGCTGCCACACCCAGCACTTGGTAGGAGTAAGAAGCAGGTGCACTGGGAATACGTGTTCAGCAAATGGTATCTGTGAATCATTAAAACTGAGCTGTAGCCTAACCCAGGCTTCCTGGCACCCCCGGGGGGCACTTGTGCAAGAGTCGGAAGAAAGGAATCCACCCCCTGCCACCACGCATGGGACCCAGGGTTCCCAAACTTCGGTCACTCCAAATGTACCCACGACACCTGCAACCAGCGTCTAGCTATCTCCAGGTTCTGATGTTCCTCCCAAGCCCAAGAGTACCATAACCAATGGGAAACTTGCTGAGCTGTTTGGCCAGAGGCTGCCCTCAGCTTAGATTCAGAATTCAGTCCTGGATTCAGTCCTGGAAAGTTCACGTTCAAATTCTGCTTAAGTGCACCTCAGCTAGAAAGCCCCCAGCCAGCCTCCTGGTTCTGTGATCTCAAACGAGCCTCAGACCCTTTCAGTAAGGGCCTTGGGTAAAGAGAGAAAACATCTGGAGACGATCTGCCCAATATGGGTGAGAACACCCAGTAGGACAGATTTGAGGATCCCCCAGTTCCAGCAGAGAAACCCCAAACTATTCCTGCAACAAACTTCAGCCCTTATGCGTGGGCTCCATAAGCCATCCTTAAATACCCACAAATAAATGTGTGCAGTACATGCCAATCAATCGTGAAATAAAACAACAAAACAAATGACAACAAAACCGCTAATGACTTTGGTAGATGAAGACACTCAATCAAGCTCATTTTCTCCCTCTGGCTCCTGGGCCACTTACCATCTTCAACCGGAATGTGTTACCCAGGGACAACTTTGCACAGGGACCCATAGCCTGGTGGGCTCCAATTGCCATTTGATGGTAGCATTTCAGGGGCTCTGAGGCATGGGATATGAGGACAGCAGCCACTCTATTTGAGCCTGAGAACTCAGGAACCCTATAAGCCTTGAAAAGGCTCATGTTTGACCCCAAAACTTAACATGAGGCTGCCTAGGACAGAAGCACACTGCAGGAGATATCCAAGGACCCATTCTCTTGATTTTTTTTTTTTTGAAGATTTATTTATTTGAAAGAATTACATAGAGAGAGAGAGATGAATGCGCGCGCGCACACACACACACACACACACACACACACACACACACACACACATCTTCCAATCACTGGTTCACTTCCCAGATGGCTAGAGCAGCCAGGGCAAGGCCAGGCTGAAGCCAGGAACCAGGAGCTCCCTCCTAAAGAATCCTAGAATGCTCCATCACCATCCCACTGCTGGATCACCCCCGGCAATGCTGTCACCCAATGGGAAGAGCCAGCAGTCAGCTCACCTTCCTCACTACAAGTTCCCAGGGGATTGTCACCTAAGCAGCCCAGATTCACTTTCCATGAGTTTCCCAGCTATGTCTGAGATAACACCTGCACATCTGACACCTGCTCCTCCCAACAGAACAACCTATGGCATTTCTCAGCAAGTGATTTATGCTCATTTTATCTGAAAAGTAGACAGAGACCTCCATCCACTAAGTCACTCCCCACCTTCTTACAACAGTCAGGGCTGGAGAAGGCTAAAGTCTGGAATTGACTTGGGGCCTCCCAACTGAGTGGCAGGGATCCAGATATTTCAGCCATCATCTGATGACTTCCATGGTGCGCATTACCAGATTGCTGGATGGGAAGCTGAACCAAACTGGGGATGCTACAACCCAAGAAGGGACTTAATTACTGTACCAGCCCCCTGCTTCTCCCCACACCAATTCCCTTCCTTCCCCACCCCCAACCATATACACTAGTATTTCTAGATGGAATTCATTTGTATCTGTTTCACATGAAGAGTTTTTTAAATCTAGGAGCAATGACAGCTTGGGAAAAGAAAGTTACAAAGCGAAGAAAGGAGACTTTGACAGGTCTGTCCCTTCTACCGGCTGAAGATTTAACTGCATCACTTTGAGGACTGTTACAAGGAATTACAGTATCTGAATCAGCTTAAAGCTTCGAATACAGGACGCCAGAAATCAGCAACTACTTGGACTCAAGGAACTACCCAGTGCATCCCACTACACAAATTCCAAAAGCCAGGCAGACTGATGGTTTACACTTTCATCTGCTGACAAGCCTACCAAAACAGGAGACCACTCTAATGTTATGGAATCATATGCATGGTGACCTCAGCCAACCAGCACTGGATTCCAACTCAACCATGAGGAAAAGCCAACAACTCCAGACCAGTGAGAACGGGCCACTTGTCAAGCCGGTTCAGTCTGACAGTCATCCTGTCTCCCCAGCACTCAGCCAGGGCAGCAGCATAACTCTCAGAACTGCCTCACCAGGACTCATAGCTCTCTCGGCCCTATAGCACAACATCCACATTATCAAACACCGCAACCATGTGTGACACACATTCAGTACACAGAGACTGAGTGAACTCATGTACAGAATCAGACCCACAGTAGATGACCTTAACTATGATCCAGACCAGAGCTGCCCACAAGCTCATCAAAACACAGTCACACTCAATGCAACTGCAGGATGCTACCAGCTCAAGGATATAGGAAATAAGATGCCAGGGAGTCAACCTTCACCCCAAATGTCTCCACCCCTGGCATCACTTCCAGAAGCCTGGGCAGGGCCTCCAAGATATAACTTATCGAGAGTTTTGTTGGTGACTTCTTCTGCTTTTCTAAGAATTTGAAAGGGCCAAAGAGTGGCTTCTACATGGTTTTAAAGAGGTTCATGGCCGATAAGGAGCCCGAGGTCCTGGGATACAGTCCTAACTCACCTTCTTGAGGATCCTGACCAAAGTGCTTCATTTCAAACAGCTTCGTGCACCCCGCACACCAGCAAAAGAGGAAATGAATACAAATATAACTGGGTACTTTTAGTATGCATGGAACCAGGAAATTAGAATGCATGTTTATTTGGGTGCAAATTTTTGAGATCCATGCATAATTTCTTTTTCATAATAAATGTTTTTCATGATCTTTTTTAAGGCCCTCTCAGCAAACATTTGAAAATTCTCTGTACCAAAATAAACATCTTTAGGGGCTGGTGCCATGGCTCATCAGTTTAATCTTCTGCTTTCAAGCACCAGTATCCCAAAAGGGTGCCAGTTTGTGTCCTGGCTGCTCCACTTTCCATCCAGCTTTCCACTTAGGGCATAGGAAAGCAGGGTAACATGATTCAAGGTCATGGGACCCTGCACCTGTTTGAGAGACCTGAAAGGCTTCTGGCTTTGGATCAGCTCAGCTCTGGCCATTGTGGCCATTTGTGGAATGAATCAGCAAATAGAAAATTGGTTTGTGTGTGAACGTGTGTGTGAGAAAGAGAGAGAGAGAGAGAGAGAGGGGCACCCCTTATAACTCTGCCTTTCAAATAAATATTTTTAAAATTCCTCCTTTCCAGGAATGTTTTGAAGTACTTTCCTATATACAGGCTGATGGGTCCCTTCCTTTTTTTTTCTTTCCTTCTCTTTTGCCCCCTTTCAGCCCATTTCTCAATCTCCTGAACACCTTGAACACTCTTTTCGTCGCTCCTTTTCCTCTCTGTTTCCAAGCCTTCATAACAACTGGCTAAGATGGAAGGAAAACATTATTTTATTACTTGATATTTATCAAATTGGAGCTGTTTTCATTTTAATAGTCAAGTTCAATATTTCATGTTCCTCTCAGAAGCCAAGTCAAATAAACCCTTAGAAACAGAAATTTCTTTATATGATACAAAAATTATATGCTTTGAACAAGGGAAGTGTTGCCTCACCTTGACATCCACGATCTGCACCTGTCGAATCCCTGGCACGTGGCTCTCATCAGATAACAGGAAAGCAGGTCTATGCTGAGACCACAAGGCCAACTGGCAGTGAACCCAACCAGGAGCGCCAAGGTTG